GTATTATTCCTACTGTTTCACAATACTCAAGAGAGTGATATTCACCCCCATGTCAAATCTAAGACTTTTAGTCCTAGTTCCAACTTGGTTTTCCACTTCGATTTTGAAAGCCTTAAATTTATCCAAAACTTCATCTTTTGCGTGCAACATCATACATAACAAAGTTTTGAATAATCATCTACGCATGTAAAAAAAATACTTTTTACCTCCTCTACTAGGAGTGCTATGCATGTCACAAACATCACTATATACAAGTTTTAACAATGAAATTGTTCTATTAATTTTTGGAAACGAAGTTTTTGTTATCTAAGTTTGCATGAAGAATTTACAATTTTTTACCATATGAACATCATACTTAGGAATTAAATCAAATTTAACCATGCCAAGTATATAAGTAGAATTGTGAATTTTTATTAATATTGAGTTTGAACATTCCCTCATATAAATAACCTTTTCCAGCAAATGTACCATTCTTCGATAGGACAAACTTGTCCAAATCAAAAATTAACTTAAAGCCATACTTATTAAGAAGGCTTCAAGATACAAGATTCTTTCAGACTTCTGGTACATTATACACATCGGTAAGCATTCGAGTTTTCATGGATATGAATTCTAGTTCCACTTTTCCTTTCCTTTCGACTGCGGCAGTTGAGGAGTTTCCCTTGTAGAGAATCAAGTCATCTGCCACTGGTTGATAGGTGGTGAACAACTTCTTGTCATTGTAAACATGCCTTATAGAGCCTAAGTCAATCCACTAGTCTCCAGCATCTTCAAGGAGATTCACCTCGGAAATAACATGTACAAAATTTTTCTTTGGCTCTAATGCTTCTGGTTTTTTCTTCTTGAGAGACTAGCAGTCATCTTTGTAGTACCCTGGTTTTTCAAAGTGCCATCATTCACCCTTCTTCTTTGTGTTCAGGTCATTGCTACGTTGAAACTTTCAATTCTTATTATATTCGTTGGAATTCTTACCTTCCTCCATCATATGAACTTTAGAGGTATTAGCCCTTAGTTCTTCTTTACCTTCCTGACATCTTAACTCTTTCTCCACATGGAGGTGTTGAGTCAATTCCTAAATAAGTAGGATTCTTAATTTTTTGTTTAAGACTTTTCTTGTAGTCTTTCCATGATGAAGGAAGTTTGTCCATGATAGAGGAGACAATAATGAAGTCATCAATTTTTATCTCTTTCTATCTAAACTTACTTAAAATGTGTTCTAACTGATGTAATTTTTTTTTTTTGATCAGCCAAAAAAACTCTTTATTGATGATAAAGAGTAACTGATGTAATTGGTTACCATCTACCATTTTAAAATGCATAAATTGACTAACAAGATATTTCTTACATGTAGCGTTGTCAGTCAGATACTTAATCTCAAGTTGGCTCTAGAACTCCTTTGTTGTCTCCACGTGCTAGTACATATTAAAGAAGGTATCGAACAAAGCATTCAGAATGTGCCCTTACTTATGTAGTTCTCATTCTCCTACTTAGTCCTTGTTTGAGTCTAAGCAATTATCTCATTTTCATGTTCCTCGAGGTATGGTGTCTTCAGTACATACACCACATTGAGTGTGGTCAAAAAAGAAGTGCAATTTCTTCTGCAAATGCATGAAGTTCCCTCCATTGAAGCGGTCAAGCTTGAGAAAGTCTTGTGTCATCTTTTCCAAGGACATCGCCATGATCAAAAAATACTATTTTTAGATTGTTGGTGCAAGTCTCTGGGATGACGATGTTGGTGATGTCACTTAAAAAAGAAAAGCTTGAAGTACACTTTGAGTCGCATTACAAATGTCGCTTTCCTAAATATAATATTTGCCCCTACTAGATGTTGTGCACTGGGTTATTTGCAAATACGTCTTCAAGACACAATGAAGCTGATCTATAGATCTTTTGTCTACGTTTGCACAAATGAAGACATATTAGAATATCTTCAAATTAATTGAAAGGTAGAAAATCAAGGTTTGATATTTTATTTCTGCAGTTAAATAGAATATCAAAAAACATAAACCTCTTGATTGAAAAATTGAAATCGAGAAAGAGAGAAAGAATTGAATTTCAGACTTAACCTCTAAAATTCTGTTTCTTGAGAATGTTGGAGTAAATTGAATGGCTAAATCCTAGGTCTATTTACAGGCCTGGATACGCCCGATCAAAAGGATCATGATCCTTGATCGCACCTAATTAGATCTGGCAATTAGATCAAGTTCTGATGGTCCGAATCTTATCCTAGCTAAATGGGAAATACGACGAGACACAATTGATCGCGAGTGGATGCGATCTGCACCGCACAATCAACGATCATGATCTCATCAATCATGAACAGACACGCAACCATTTGGATGGTTGCACCACCTCATCACCACATGGTGCTGACTTTATTCCACATCACTACCACTACATAATGATTTGAACATTGCTACATTATCTCCAAGTGTGCATTTTGAACCCACCACCTCATTGCCATCAAACTTTCCAGAGCAAATAGGAAAATGTCTTCATGGCACTGATGCGTTCATGCTAAGTGCAAAATGCACCATTAAACGCTACACAACTCATTGCCAGTGCCACGTGCGTGCGCTTGTGCATATGCAGATGGTGCGATGCACCATTCTTGCACCGTGTAAGCATACACTCTACCATGGGTGTTTATTAAGCTTTATCTTTTCTCTTATCTTTTCAATATGGAAGAAGCCACAAAGCTTAAAGAGCTTTCTAAGAAATAAGAAAGGTTTTTCAAAACAATAAAAAAACAAAAAACAAAAAAAAAACACATTTTATTTTAGAAAATCCCCAACTGTATGAACAACAATACTACCAATGTTGGAAATTGATAGGCTTGACTGTTACCTACATGAAGCTAATTGAGACCATGATATTTAGCATATTAGGTCAACGTAGTCGGGAATTGCATGATGTGTTGCATAGAAAACTAGTATAAAACTGAGGATGGTGCTACATAATTAGCTCTGGAGCGGTATGATTATAACACTAATAGTAAAAGCAAGAGTGTTGTTGAGTCCATTCAAAACTTGGAATTGCATTCAAGCATCAAAGCAAGATGGGCACTAGGTACCAAAAGAGAAGGCCCAAAACGATAGTGAACCACAAGCCAACAGTGGTAGGCCCGTGACAATGGGAGTTGTGTCCACAATCACATCCTAAAGAAAGTGGTTTGTTGAGTGATATGAACTTGAGGGCATCACCTAAGGCAGTCACAGAAGCAGAGGATAAGGCATCAAAACGGAAAAATTTACTGTTGGTGAAAAGACTATGTAACTCAGAAAATGGAATAGGAGAAGGACGTATGGCGAGTGTGGTGATGAGATCACGAAAGACCATTAAAAACTATAGAGATTTAAATCTTGGAGGAAAAGTGGTCAACTAGTTGCAGCGAATTTATCTAAGAGGCTTTTAGCTTTGTGTATAAATTGTTTGATACCTTGGAGCTGCATATGAAGTTGTAAAATTATGGTACTAGATGTAGAGGCAAATGGAGCTTCTAAAACAGTCCAAATATCGCAAGAAGAAGTGAAACCAACAACTACTAGTGGAAGAATATCTTTAGAGAATGACAAAATCAAGAGGTTCAGGAGAAGCTAGTCTTGTCAAGTTTAGGAGATAAGGGGAGAAACAGTCCAAATAAATTTTTTAGTAATGCTACAAATCAAGAAATTTTACTCAAAAACTTATATATAAAATTTAATGTGGAACTCAAATTAATTTTGGATGTAGGTTCCAGCATCCAAGAGTTAAATTTGGACCATATATTAACTTCCTAGAAAAAATTCCTGGCTTAAATTTTGGATCTTAGTTTTTTTGTAAATTTTTTCCGGAAATTATTATTCTCATTCTTTGTCATTATAAATGCACTCTAAAATTTCTTTTTAGTATTCAAAATTACACATAACGTATTTGAATACTTATTAATATATATATATATATATATATTTTTTGGAGCGCATGTACAAATAGTTAAAGTGGAAATAGCACTTCCATTTTTTTATTAATAAATACACAAATTGAGATTTATGTTAAATCCAAGTCTACCCCAGTACTCAATACAACCCTAAGACAATCAAACATAGGATTCTAGGAAAACTAAATATATAAACATAAATGGCAGCACTGCCAATTGCAAAATTATTGGCAAGCAATTATAACTTTATTCAATCAATAGTTAATTACATAACTATGCAACCAATGAGTTTATAATCACACAAAGCATAATAAGGATTCTAATAACCTATATTTGATGGAATCTCAATAGTGATTTTCATAGTTGGTGGGGAAGAAAGATATTCTAGTTTTTATAATGATAATTGAAATGTCGAACAGCTTGCAAGAATTTTTAGATATTTCAATCTCCACCTCAATTTCTTTGTAAATCACATACAAAGTAGTATATATCACATGGTCATCCATGGGGACACAAAATCATGTAAACTCCCAAAAGAGCCGAAAACAAGAGAAAAGTAACCATGTAATTAAGCAAGAAAATTTAAATTTGGAAACCACATAAACAGTGTTTTTCATGATATGAGAGAGAGAGAGTGTGTGTGTACTGCCCCACTACAATCATGGGCACTATTGTTTCGTTATTTGCAAGTGTGAAGGATGCTTAAGGTAAGATTTCTTAGCAGGGTTGTTCATTAAATCTTGTTTACAACCTTATAACTCATTATGAAAATTAGGGTTTTGGAGTGATGTGGGTTTAGGGTTTCTTATGAAGGTATTGGATCACCCAAATTCATGTAACCTGCTAATAGTTTTTAGTTCATAACTATTTTTTGTGTTCACCTCTTTTTCTAACTGACGTGTTTGATTTTTTTTTATTTTTTATTTTTTTTTTAACCAATGTGTTCACGGTTCACCTCTTATTTTATTTTATTTCATTTTAATCTTTCCATGAAATTATGAAGCAGAATTTTAAGCTAATTTGGAAATATATAGTACTTTCAAATTATATAACTATCATGATCAATGCTCAGTTATGAATTTACCATTTTGATCCAAAGACTTTTCTTTAACCGGACTGTTTCGAAGAGTTGAATTCATCATGGTTTGCCTTGATCATCTGATTCTTCATCTTCTTATTTTTCTTCTTGTACAAAATCCCTCTTGCCTTTGCTTGACACGCCTTAACTTCGCGTAAATAAACACGTATAGCTCCATCGCCAAAAGGGTTTCTCTCCAGTGATCCACCACCACCACCACCACCACCACCACCACCGTTCTCTTCGTACGCAGCTCTGAGCCGTCCGATCAAAGCATCAAGGCTTCCCCAAGCTTGTCTAAGAGGACAAGTGCATGGAGCAGGAGGGTCCGGTTGTCCGAAAAAGACACAACCAGGCAAGTGAACTTTTGTTTTCCCAAACTGATCGAGATAGCAAAGGAACTGTAATACATGGTTGTAATTGCACTGTGCGAGAGAAATTGGGGGTCTCTGGCTCTTCAAGTACTGCCCAAAAGTGTTCCAGTCTCTGCGCTTCTGTGACTCGTATCGGCTCAATGGTGGTGCCTTTTGCTGCTGCTTCTGATGATCACCTGCCGATCGCGATGATCTTTCTGCTGAGTCTTTCTCTATTTCGGTTGCCATGGTTGTTGCAGAAGAATTCTTTTTCTTTTTTTTTTTTGTTTGTGTTTTAGATCAGAATGACAAGGAGAAAAAAAGGGGGGAAGGAGGTGAAAGAAAATGGTACTGCAGTGAAAGAAAAATGAAGATCAAGTCTGGAGTCTACTAAGGAGACAAGACATATATGGGCCCAATGGTGGTGTTTTTCTTCTCCTCCCACTCTCTCATTTTCAAGAAATTATTAAATATTATTGAAACAAGTTCAGGTAGTGTATAAATAATTACGGATCCAGTTTCTTTTAACCTTGTTATTTGGACATGTGAAGGTTATCATAAGTCTCATCTTAATAATTTAATTATTTATTTTTTAATTAAGAATGTATATATTTAAGGTAAAAATTAAATTTATTCAATAACTATAGTTATGTTGGTTTATGATATTTATTTATAAAAGAATAAATCATAAATATCAAATCAATTTTTACAATTTTTTATTACACATTTTTCAATAAAAAGTCAAAAAGTTAACCCAAACATCCATATTTTCAACTTCAATTTTTTAGTCCAAAAAGACAAAAAGTGCACTTATTTAGTCTTCCCAAACTTGGCCTAAATTTATTCAATAACTATAGTTATGTTGGTTTATGATATTTATTTATAAAAGAATAAATCATAAATATTATTTGAAAAATAAACTATTTATGTTTTGGGAGACAAATTAGATTCACCTAATTATTTTTATGAATAATTTATACCTTGTAACATAATGAACAGTTCAATAATCCACAGTAAAAACAACATTGGAATGGACAGACCCTAATTCCGTAATTATTACTCTAACTTATAGGACACATTACTTTGATTTTGATGCATAATCTAAAAGGTATTAGTTAGTTAATGGAATTGAGAATATTGAATAATTTCTCCTCATTTACATGTTCTCGATTTTAATTAAATTGTTAGCACTAATCATAAATTTAGGACATCGGCAATATATTACCAGAATACTTTATTTTTATTTTATTTTGTTTTCATATAACATGTGAAGTTTCACTATTTTTTTAAATATACGTGTCTTATATATATATATATATAATTTGTATGGTATAAATATACGTAAGAAACGAAATAAGATGATAGTGGTGATAAATAATATTTATCTAATTTAATCTATGATTATTTTAACTGACATCATTAATACAATTGTTATCATTTTCATTTGCATCACACATGTACACCGTATTGAGTACTTTTATACAAATTTTTAAAAAGTTATAAAATTTTTGTGATATGATATGATACTAATAAATGTGATATGATAAGTGTCATTTCAGTTAATAAAAAAATATATATTTTTTTAAAAAATTTAAAACATACATTACTTTAATAATATGATAAGTGTCACATAAGTTAATACAAAAATTTGTATTAATTTTTTTTTTTTTTTTTTTTTTTTTTTAATTTATGTGACACTTATCATATTATTAAAGTAATGTATGTTTTAAATTTTTTAAAAAATATATATTTTTTTATTAACTGAAATGACATTTATCAGTATCATATCACAATATATCATATCGGCAACTTGAGAATCGGTGCAACTAATTAGACTCAAAGGGGAAAGAATTTCAAAAAATTGAGCAGTAGGAAAAAAATAAATTTTGAAGTGATCAAAGTTGAAGATTTATTTACACAATATCACGTGTAAATCACTTATACTTTCATACATCTTAGTTTTTGATGAAGATATTGTGAAACACAAGGGCTGCTGCTTGAAATTAATCCATTGACTCATCCCTGAATTACTGTTCATAAGATGTTAATTGTAATTTGACTTGGCTTAGTAAAGCCATCGGATCTGATTCGATTCAAGAATTGCTTTCACTCTCAAAAGTTAAGTGTGAAAAATCAGTACAATCATCATCAGCACTAATACAGTATGGGTGAATTACATTTTGTCCCAAGAGTGATTGGGTGTGCATTTCGGGGCCAATTTAGTTGAAAGGAAAATGTTTGGTAGCTCAAAATTTTGTGGTTTAAATGGCTCAAATCTGTCAAAACGACGTCGTTTTACACTTAAAATCTGTCAAAACGACGTCATTTTGAGTGATTTGAGCCATTTGAGCCACAAAATTTTGAGCTACCTAGCATTGCTGTAGTTGAAATTGCTATGCATCGTTATGATATTTTTTGCACTCATTTGCTTCTTTTATTGATATAATATTTTGAATTTTTTGAATTTTCATCAATAAATGTTCTTTTTATTTTGCGGATAAAACAATGACATTTTGTCCCCCTAAAGTTTCCGAGTTTTCCCACTTTGGTCTTTATTATTATTTTTTTTCCACTTTAACCCTTAATGTTTAAAATCTTTCCTAATTTAATTACTCCCAAAATAAACTTCTATTGAATTTTGGACGGAAAATGACACTTTGATAGCCACGTGACATAAAATAGGTAAATTCTATTTTGTCTACCCTTAAGTTTCACAAATTTTCTATTTTGGCCCTTAAAATTGTAAATTTTTTTTTCTAATTTACTTCTAAAATAAAGTACCATTCAATTTTGAATGAAAAAAGCCACTTTAGTAGCCATGTTTCATAAAAATAAATTATATTAAAATTTGGTGGTGTTTATAGAATTTTTTGTTTCAAATAATTAGAAACAAATTTTTTAAAAAAAATATCAAAAAATATAGTTTTCAATTTTTTAAAAAATATTTCTACTCAAAAAAGAGAAACCGTATAAAATAATCAGTGTTTTATCTTTTCTTTTTTTTTCGCCAAACTATTTTTTGAAAAAAGAAATTAGAAAACGCATTATAAAAACTCAACCAAACAAAGAGAGATTTTGGTATATATCAACCATACTAGTGACACAAAGGTGGGACTAGGATGAAGGAAGGGGACATAAAGGGCCGATAAAGGTTGAGAGGTGTGAAGGCTAGGGTAGAGAGGAGGGAAGCTGAAGGAGTAGTGAAAGTTTGTGACGAATATTAAGTGGAAAAAATTATGGGGTATTTGAATTTAGGTTTGGATTTTGGAGTCAGAGTTTTGAAATGTGGGATTTGGTTCTTAAAATTTGATAGAAATTAGTTTTGGGGAATAAATTGGGAAAAAATAAAACTTTAGCGTTGTGTTTGGTTGAAAAATTTGGGAAGGAATTTGAAAATAGAAAGAGAAAAAGTAGGTAAAATGTAAATAAAATATACTTATATTTCAACTAACTTCACATACCTTTTCTCTTCCTCTTTCCAAATCTTCTCCCAAAATCCTTCAACCAAACACAGCCTAAGGGTTAAAGCGAGAAAAATACATAAAAGGGCAAAGTGGAAAACTACAAAATTTAAGGGAGGCAAAGTGTAATTTATCCATTTTGTCACATGGAATTTTCATCCAAAATTGAACCAAAGTTAGCTTTTAAAGTAAATTGAAAAAAAAAGTATAAATGTTAAAGGTCAAAGTGGGAAAAAAATTATAAATTTAAAGGAACAAAGGGTAATTTACCTATAAAGCATTAACTGTTTATTTCATGAAAAACAATTATGATAAACTTATATGCATTGTGTAAAGTAGCAAAGTCACCGTCTTTGGGCCTCAAATTTTAATAATTAGAGTACCATATAATTTTGGTTTTATAGTATTAGTAGGCTTAAAACTGAGAACCCAATCTAACTTATAATTCACAATTGTATTTTTTTTATCAATCATGTTGCGAGAATAAAAATATTTAAGGATTGGTTTAGAAATAGTTTATTTTAGTAACTTTCAAATTTTTTAGCAAAAATATGATTTGAATTTTTTTTAAATATGTTTGGGATTTTTTTTTTGAATTTTTACAAAAAAATATGCTAAAAAGATATGAAATGAAATCTTTAAATTTTTTTATATAGTCCTTTGCCTTTTTGACATTTTAGTTGCTTTTTAACTCTTTAACTATTATTATAAGTTACCAAAACAACCTTCAGTGATGATATTTTATTATAATTAGTTTAATTTTATTTGGTAGGACACTTTTAGGTTTTATCGCTTTTTTATTATTATTTATTATTGTTAACTGAATTTTGCTAAATTATAAAGTAGAAGACCAAATGTTTATTTTTTTGAATTTTTGTAATAATTTTTTTCATATCTTAATCCGTATATATAAATTTTAATATATAATTTTAGTGATTATATATGTAAGTAAGCTTTGTGTAGATACTAAAAATGTTTTAAAATATACATAAAAATAAGTATAAATAGTTATCATTTGACTCAAAACAACTGTTTTGTGATTACATGTATATAGCTCCATTTTAAATGTTTGCTTAGAGTTTCAAAAATCTCATCACAATGGGGCAGTTTGATATAAATTTTAAGAGCTGATTATAACATATTTTAATTTCGAAATCTGTGCCACACTGTTTGGTGCAGCATTGTGCTTCTAGTTTATTAGGCAAAAATAGTTTAAATAAGTTGAAAGAAATTGATTATTTAGAAGTTGAGAAATAAGTGCTTTTAGTTTCTACATTTTAATTATCATATTTTAGTTTAAAAAAACTTTACGAAATAGGGCTAATCTTGCTTATAGGATGATGATTATAAATCAATTTAATTTATGTTTATAATATATACTATTATTTTAAGTGATAGACGGAAGGAGTACGACTTGAATGTCACGATAATCTTGCTTATACAATGATTTTGAATCAATTTAATTTATGTATATAATCTATACTATTATATTAAGTGATAGATAAAAGAAGTGCGACTTCAATCTTAGACCTTTGGGCTAATGAATAAGACTCTTACCCCTTAAATAATATACAATACAAATATTTTGTTTTATTTTTATTTATTTCGATTGTGTACATCGCGTATACTAATTACTAATAACTTTTAAAGTAACAATTCAAAATATTAAAATAAAATCGTCAATGAATCACAAGCTGGACACTTGGAGAAGCCAATTCCAAAATATTATTGAGATCTTGAGTGGGTCCATATCGTCCGTAAAGCTTTGTGATGCAGCCAATCACTGCATGTGTGTCGTGGGACCAAATGTTTTTCTAGTTGAACGTCTTATTTGATAATTATATGTTTTGAATTAACACCAAGGATCCTCTAGAGTGAAATTTCTCTAAAGTTTCCTAGGGTACTACATTGTGTGGTTGAGATTTACTGGCAAGTCACATCAGAAAAATTGATGTGATTTG